CCCCACTCCCGCTTTACACTTATCGCACCCCCTTTTACTATCTCTTCAGTCTATTATTTACTTAGTTGAATAAAATTGCCTACATTTTACTTTTTCCTATTCGGTCTAATGCAATCGAGTCATTAAACGATCAATTGCAATTATCAAGGCTAAATTTATCGTTTTAGCGGGTTACCACCAAGTCAAGGTGGACGATACGAGGGTTTTGGAAACACTACAATTCAAAATCGACCTCCCCCGGCATCAGCGTATGACGATGCTATGAAGGTTCTCATGAACGTAAGTCTCTTGTTTAGTTCCAAGTCTGCGAGTTCTATTCAGGAACTCAGCGTAAATGCTTTGCAATTTATCTTAATTGCCCCCTTTGTTTCTTTTTTATGTAGGGATGGTCAACTGTTAGTATGCTAGCTTCGGTAGCTGCGAAGAAGACCACGGAATTGACCGCAACAGCTGCCGAAAAAACGAAACAACTCGGCGAGACTGTTCAAACTAAGGTTTGTTTGCTCCTTATTTACTCTCTATAGAGTAGCACGATCATCGTTGTCAACTGAGTATGTTGTCGTTAACTCCCTTGCATTTCAGATTAAGGAAGGCCATTTATTAGATACCATTACAGATGGGGTTTCGAACCTCTCTACCAAGGTAAAATATGTCACTTGCTATGTGTACACTACCTAGCTATTTTACCTTTGGCTATTTCAGTACCATAACGTACCCTTGTCGCCTTACCCTTAGGTCCAAACCTATCTCCATGCTTCTGGAGAAGGTGGAAGTAGTTTTGCAGAATACAATGATCGTCCATTCCAGAGACAACCTCAGTCTTTTGACCAAACTTTGACTGGAGTTTCCAATTCTCGATCAACATACGGTGCACTTGCGGCGTAAGGCTTTTGTGTCTAAAGGTTTTATTCTAATATTTTTATCGTTCTTATAAAATTATTATCTTAGGGTATCTTTGCTTGGCTTAAGTTATTGTGCGTTTCGTATTGATTATCAAATTGCTTTCTATTGTTCTAAAGTCGTCTTAAAGTGGACTTTATCCTTTATCTAATGCGGATTTTTTTAATATTTGGATAGTTGAATCTGTATGGATTTAGCTTGAAGGTCATTAAGGGTAAATTGCTCTGGTTGCAGACTTGGCATAGCACACTCATGTATGCCAACTAACTCTTCCTGTATGAACAGTGGGTATTAGTCTCCCAGTTACGGAGAGGTCAGTTTAGCTTCCCTTTACTTATGATACTGGTTAATCCAATTCGGCTCTGTTTGATCAAATTAGGTATTAAATAAAATGTAAGCTTCGCTCTGTTTTACGAGGCTATACCCTCGCCATTTGGTGGGATGAAATTTATATCCTTCCTAGAGTTCGGGCTAAGTGCAGGAGGGGATGCATTGTCTTGTACCTGGCTCAAATCTATCTTGCTATCCTTTTAGTTTGGAATAAAGTTGGCGATTAGTTTTCCTCAATTCGAGATGGAGTAAACTTGAGTGCAAGATTTTTCAACCAATGGAAAGTGGGAAAATAGGTGGTTATCGTTTACCCTGTGTGACGTTGTAGATTAGAGATCCAATTCAAAGTGGAGGCATGGAGTCAGAAGGGAGATGGATGTTCTCTATGTACTCTATGCCAAATCCTTTGTTCTTTCCTGCCCCGAATCAATAGTGGTTTATTAATATCTAATCAGCAGATATATAACCAATCGGGTTACTTTGCAGCTATGACGCGGTGCCTTACTCAGCAAAAGTTATATTGCTGCTTGTATTAGAACTTGTGTGGTAAAAGGCTTTCTCCCAACTTTTAGAGATTCAGCCCGCAACGTCAAAAGTCTAGATGACAATGCATTCGACGGTGATGGATGGGGTGCGGATTTTTCACCAACTAAAACTGGTGCGCAACCTTTTTTTAAGTTTACACAACTTGCTATTTTATTATCATTTCTCAATCCTCTTATTCGCTATTAGAAGCGCGAAAGCCAGCTAAAGAGTCGGAGAAAGACGATTGGTGGAATTCTAATTGGGAGTCTGAAGACGATGGCGACGGATGGACGACTGTTGGTTCAACAGTGAATGCAACCTCCACAGCCAATAATCAACGTCTTTCTGAAACGACAACTCGACGAAGTAAATGAGGCGCATTCAATTGATCTTAGGTGTGGCTTGTGTGTGTATCTCCTGTGGTATCCTTCTGAATTCATTTCATCATTCTTCTTTCATCCATCCTCCCAACCCCCCCCTCTCCCATTGAACATGATATCCTTTAACTCCCAATGTTCTTTTGTGCCCCTTTCTGACTCTCATTTCCCTATTGAACTATTCCACCACTGTGAATTAATAAACTATCTTCCTGAAGCGGGCTGACTGATTTTGTAGCTCATTTATTTATATCTATAAATATATCATTTACTTAGTGAGAATGGAAGTTCTTAATTAATTCTAAATTCCTTTATGTGTGCGACAATAGATTGTTCAAATGTTCCATTTTGGTTTTTCCAGAAATTTTATCCCCTGTGAGGGATCGATACAGAAACTAGTAGTAACCCACACTAATTTCAGTTAACTTCAAATACTTTTGATTTTCGGGTGATGTAGAATACTCCAATTTGTTTAATTTAATTTTTAATCAAACTGTATTCTCGTATTCCTATCGTTAATATGCTTCTGATTTCCCTACGTCAGTTCTTTTCCATCTTGATTAACGTAATTACAAATGGAGGTGCTCTTAGGAGATCTTACTAATTTATTTGAGCTTATATTACTTTTTCGATTATGGCTATATGACCACTCTTCGTAAAGTTATTGGCTAATATGTGCTTAAATTAAGAGCGTGTCCATGGATATGGTAGTTTTACATGAACAAACTCAGCATGTCCAGTTACTATTTAAATATTATTGGGAAGATGCTCTAAATAGGCCTTTATTAAGATATGTCACGTAGACGTGGCAATTAAATGTTGAGATAGCGCATGCAGACGGGAAGATGTGGGAGTAAGTTGGTCCAATCACCACCAAACACCATATTTCTCCAACATCAACGGTGTGGCTTGAAGCGGAGTATATAGCCTCATCTAGATAGTAGCTACTCCAGCCATCTCTTTCCTTCGCTTTGCGTGAAGTTGTTCATTTTTTTCTTGCCACGTTGCGATCCTACATTTAACGAGCTTTTTAGACTAAAAGTAGCACTTCGATGTTCGCACTTTAATTTTTGGCATTTTTTCATAGTGATAGAAAGTACAATTTTGTCAAAACAGCAGAAAGAAGAATTGAAAGCAGCTAATAAGTAATTGAAGCTGGGATTATATTTATATTAAATTGCAGGCGTTATGATAGTTATCGTTAGCCCTTTAGTTGACTTCAGGCTTCACAGAGAGGGGAAGGAACATCAAAGTGAAAAACGTCGAGGGGGAGGGGAGGGAGGAGAAGAGTGTTCAAAAGATGTAAAAGAAACAGACACAAAGGTAGAAAAAAGATGAGGTTATTACTGTGGAATTAGGGGAATATGACATAGAGTGGGGTGATGGTAATTTGAAGTGAGAAGTCAACTGCCAGTTAATAGACATTTTTGCTGTATGAGTATACGTTGCCCAGGGTGCACCACGTGGAGGTAAGTCTATCGCGCACCCATATGCAGCCACAATCACTGATATACCAATGACATCAACCACTCAGGTATAAAGAATCGCTTGATTGGTATGGAGAAGGGCATGAGGATTTGAAAGAAGTCATTGTGGTAGGAGGGGACGTAGCAGGCCTCTGGTGATACCTGAGCCAATAGAGAATGAAGACCAATGAAGTGAAGGGATGGTCCATTTGACGTGTACCGAACATCGCGGTATAAACGTTGCCACAAAGTATGATCCTGTGTGGACAAGTTTGAGGTAACTGAGAGCACTGGATTAAGGCGGATATAAACCATTCACTTATATCATTTCTATTTTGTATGCTATCTTAAATGGGGGACACATGCTGTGGTTTAAAAGATCTCAATCATTTACGAGCTCCCCCTTGCAAATACGAATAAAAGACCCTTCAGAACACATATTTTTATCCAAAACAAGGATATTTATGCAGGTAATTTTTCATCGCCCGTCGTTGGGTGTTTAACTATCAAAGATTTGCCAACAAGCGGCTAAATACTTTGGACACACCCCAGTTAGAAATGGGTACTGTAACCGCGTCCCGCGCGGAGTGGATAGTATGTACCTTCTGAATGCCAACCCTTTTCTGACCCTCTCAAAATTATATCTACTTGAATTACACTCCCATTTAGCAATTATCAAAACTTCTGGATAGGCTAGTGTCAACTAAAACCCACTTGCTCATACTCCAGTTTAAGGAGGTTGAATAACCCTCGAGTAAACTGCTATTTGATTTGGCTATAAATATAAAATTGGCAATGAAGGTTCTTGCAGAACTGCCCAATTTTCCTTCACTTTATTTAATGTTACCCTGTAGTCACACTTTTTAATGGTGAGCCAAAGCTTATATGAATGCGATAGAAATTTTAACTCTGGGTTACTTTGCTCATTTCCCTAATAAAATCGCACCAATTAGCGAGAAATGCTAAAAGTGGACTTAATTTATGGCATCAAAATAAGTGGGGAAAAACGAAAATTGGTGGTTATTGTCGCCCACAGATGTGTAATGAGTCCCAACAAGCAAATACCCACCCCCCCCC